TTCAATTTTTTGGAATAGCTTCAGTAGGAATGGTACCAGCTCTTCTTTGTAAATCTGGTAGAATTCAGCTGTGAATCTATGTTGTCCTGGAATTTTTCTGGTTGGTACACTATTTATTACTCCCTCAATTACAGAACTCATTATTGTTCTGTTCGGGGATTCAATTTCTTCCTGGTTCAGTCTTGGGAGAGTATATGTGTCCAGTAATTTATCCATTTATTTTAAATTTTCTAGTTTGTGGGCATAGAGGTGTTCATAATTGTCTCTGATGATTATTTGTATTTCTGTGGGGTCTGTGGTAACATCCCTTTTGTCATTTTTTACAAAACACACACACTCTGGCTTTTTGAGTTGTCAGACTTCTTGCACTGGTTCTTTCTCATCTTTGTGGGCTGATGTTTTTTAAATCTTTGAAGTTTCTGTACTGTGGATGGGCTATTTTTTTTCTTTTACTTTCATCCTATTTGATAACCTTGGGGGTGTGATTGTGATATAAGGTGGATTCAGTCAACCGGCTTCATTACTGGAAGATTTTTGGGGGCCAGCTCAGAACTCCTGCCTGGATTGAATGCTATAATTCAGGTAGACTGGTATCAGGTCCCAGCTTTGATCTCTGGCTCCTCCAGGTTAGAAACCTGTTGTACTGGAGGGGCTGAGGTGCTACCAGACCACTGGTCACAACATTCCAGTAAGTAGTGCCAGCCAAAGCACTTCACAGGGCTTTGACAGTGGGACCTGTCCTTGTTCCCATGTATTAGCAGCAGCAGCAGCAGCAGCGTTGGAGGGTGCACACTTATCCATTTGCTGCAGCAGGGTTCTCATGGGTGCTGGGGTGCTAGCCTCGATGTGGATATTTGCAGCAGCAGTGGTGGCAGTATGGCTTGGTGGGGGTGAGGAGCCCCCACTGGGACTGTGTGCATGTCCCTGCAGGTGGTGGTTTTAGTGTGGAGGTGGGGACATCGGGGGTACAGGACTGTGTGTGCCCTCTGTGCATGTTCATGCTGGCAGCAGTCTGCTCAAGGCTGGGGCTAGTCTACTGTTTTCCATGTCTAGTTTTGCTCTGGTGGCCCAGGCTCAGGGGCAGGGTACTGACAGGGGTAGGGCTGGGGTGCTCTGAGCCCGCCAATGTTCTGAAGACAATGGTGGTGTGGGGGTGGGAGGAGGGGTGAGGGGGCACACTCACGCTAGCAGCAGTGTCAAGGTAGTGTGCAGGAGTTCCAGTACCAGTGAGCTGACGGGGAAGAGAAGGCTAGGTCTGCCTGGGCATACATGCACAGGCATAGCAATTTGGATGGCGACCATGGGTGCAAATGAGCTGTTGTGTGTCTGCAGAGGTCACTCTGCTGAAGCACTCTGCCAGTCAGGTGTGGTCCACCAGCTATGATGTGAGCCCCAGGAGGCACCTGGCAGCTGTGCTGCAAACAATTGTGGCCAGGCTGGGGCCCTGAAGGAGGCCAACAGAATGAGAGGTGCTCTGGTTGTACTGGTCTTGTCTCATGGATAAGATTGCCCTGTAGAGTTCAGGTCCGAAAGTTCCCTTAGGGCTTAATTATCCTATGGCAACGATTCTAGCCTAGGGGGTTGCACGTCTCTGAGAGGGCTTCACTACAGTTGCTCCTACAGGACACCCTCTGTGCTCTGCCCCCGGCTGGAGTTCTGCCCCTACCACTTCTCTAAGTAGCTTTCCCTGCCAACGCAAGTGTCCATGGTAGTTGAGGGGTCTCCTCCTGCTGAGATTCCAAAGGTCCACAGTGAATTTGGGTTGCTTCTTGTCTTGGGTTGCCTGTTAAGCACATCCTCTTTGTCGGAGTCATTGGCGGCCAGGAACACGTTCCAGTGTGCAGTAGCCCCGGGAAGGGTTCCTAGCTTCCTCCCGCTCCGGCCCAGCCTCTGTGTTTTCCCTCCATCTGTTCTGCCTCCGCCTAAAGCTGCAGGATAAGAACATGGCAGCACTGGGATATGAACTCATTTTTGCCTAGCTCCAAAGGCCTTGCTCATTCATGCAGACTCTCAGAAATGAAAAATAATTCCCTTCATCTTCGTTAAATCACATGTTCCTACAGACAAATTATCCAAAGCTTTTATGAAACCTATGTGATGCTGTAATACAATCGATTACTACAGTATTTATGGAATATACCATTCATAGCTTTAGGCTACACAGGAACAATTATATACCAAGTTCTCTTGAATTCCCTCTCTTTCTAAAACCTATGGACTTGAAGTCAGGATGTTTTCAGAAGTCCAACTGGTGTTAAAAATCCAAATAGATCAAACATTGTTTCTTTTTGTATCTGTGTGACAACTAATACCAAGGTGTGTAATTACAGTGTGGAGAAACCCACATAATTTCTCTGAGGAAAGTTTATTTTACTGGAAGTAGTCATTGCCAATAAGCAATAGAAGCCCTAACCAGTGGTTCTTATTTTGCAATTAGAATTTTTCATCTTAATTTTAGTATATGTGCAGCCAAAGCAAGCACCACCTTTTCATCTTAAGCAAAGGCTAAGTTTGTGTGTAATATAGATGAAGGCTATTACCAGATAAACACCATCAAAAAGTTATTTTATTGGTATCTTTCTGTTGTGATTTTTTTAAGTACCGTTCTTTCTTTCCTACTCCCTCCTTTTCTACAAATATATGTTGAGTATCAATTCTGTGATGCTTGAGGCATTAGGCACTCCAATAAGTAATCCTTTAAGTCTCACCAGAATTGGAGTTTGATGATATGGTGTCCATTGTGTAGATGAGGATACATCCTCCATAAAGTGCGAGATCACATAACCAAATGTAGAAAAGTAGGTCTGTCTCTTGCTGAAAGGATCTTAACATTGAATGCTGCTGCATGAAGCCCAGGGCTTCAGTGGAGAACCTCAGAAACCAGATAACTCGGCTGGCCAGTTGCGGTGGCACACGCCTGTAATCCCAGCACTTTGGGAGGCCGAGGCTGGTGGATCACGAGGTCAGGAGTTCAAGACCAGCCTGGTCAATATGGTGAAACTCCATCTCCAATAAAAATACAAAAATTAGCCAGGTGTGGTGGCACGTGCCTGTAGTCCCAGCTGCTTGGGAGATGAGGCAGAAGAATCACTTGAACCTGGGAGACGGAGGTCGCAATGAGCTGAGATCATGCCACTGCACTCCAGCCTGGGCAAAAGAGTGAGACTCCGTCTCAAAAAAAAAAAAAAAAAAGAAAGAAACCAGATAACTCTGAGCCATGAGGCATTACATTGGCCTCTCAGAAGTCTGAATAAATAAGTATGGGGATTTCCCTTATTTTGAAGGCATTAATGACTCATTTCTCTAGGATATTGAAGTGAGTTCTCCAGTGGAAGACAACTGGAAAATGAGTGTCCTTGTCTACATATATAAGATCTTAATAAAATTAATTATAAAATTGACCTTGGTGGGGAGACACTGAAACAGGATTACATGGTCTGAGTAAAGTCCTTACAATAGAGAAAAAAGTATGTACAAAGACACAAGAAAGACACAGAGGGAAGAAAAGGACTATTGACTGGAGTCGGGAATGCAGGAACGTGTGTGTGTGTGTGTGTGTGTGCACACGCATGTGTGTGTGAGTGTTTATAAACCTAGATAAGTTTAGATGAGCCTGGAGAATTAACAAGCCATGCTTGTATTTTACAAAAATGCACTCCAGAAGAGACACGGGTTGGAAATTGTTCCAGAAAGAATAAGACATAGTGGTGATATGAACCATGAACCTAAGTTTGTGATGATGAATTTGAAGAGAAATTCTAGGCTTTGCCTTAGAAAACAACATAAAAATCTTAGTTCTTCAGGAACACAATGCCCACAGACAAACTTCACCAGAAACAGAATTTGCACATAGACAGATGTATATGTCACTCCTCACTTAGATGAAATATATGCATATGCTTCCATTTACAGATGGCCTCTTTCATCACTGAAAGAAAAAGTGCACTTCAGATCTACACTACAAATATATTTAGATACAAATTTACCTCCACCAGACAGTGTTACATGTTATTTTTGAAAGGTAAATAAGTTACTTGATTTATTATTTTAAACTTATGAGTGCATTTTTAATTGCTATTCATGAAATGAAAATTATTTGAACTTGAACAGATATGTAAGGATATTTGATGTTGCTTAGTAGCATTTCTCAAACAGATCCTATTTTGCACATGAGATTTGCTAGGGAGTTGAAGCTACCTCCTATTCCGTACCTGTTTATATGATTTGGTAATAGTCTTTTGTTGTGAAGGTTTATGAACATGGTAAAATACATACATTCTATTGAGAGATATGATAAAATGGCATAACTCAAGTTTCAACTATGATTTTGATAAGTAGTTTTCAAACTTGTTTTGGGGATTTTATGAAATCCCAAAGGGAAAGATAACAATTTTACTATTAAAAAGTGTTAACATTATTTTGCTTATAGACTCTAATTATTGGTTAGCAAAATAATTGTTATAATTATTTCATTCAATTTTAATATAATAAGAGTTATATAATTCTTCTTTTACTCAGCATTTTTTTTTCTTTTTTCTTTTTGAGACAGGGTCTTGCTCTGTCGCCCAGACTGGAGTGCAGTGGCAGGATTACAGCTTACTGCAGTCTCCACCTCCTGGGCTGAAGCCATCCTCCCACCTCAGCGCCCCCAGGTAGCTGGGACTACAAAGTGCATGCCACCACACCTGGCTAATTTTTGGATTTTTTATAGAGACTAGGTTTCACCATGCTTCCCAGGCTGGTCTTGAACTCCTGGGCTCAAGCAATCCACCTACCTGGGCCTCCCAAAGCGGGGAGAATTACAGGCATGAGCAAATGTGCCTGACCCTATTTCTCTGTTAAAGAATAATTCTAATAATAATAATTTCTGGTTTTATGTATTTTTACAAATAATTGACATGATGATGTAATATTCACAATGCTTCAACAATGTGAAAAAGTATATACAAATATTAATCACATAATTGATAAAATATGTGAAATAATGAAGCCAAAGCAGGTCATTAAGAAATATTTATAAACATTATGTATTGAAGTTACAGATGTTGCCAAAGTTGTACATCCACGGGGCCAGTCATCATAAATTCTGATTGATGTTTAAAATGAGAGCAAGAAATACCCAATTAAGTAGTAAATTGAAAACCACCTAATCTTCTTCCGATGCGTCTGCGTTTTCTTTGTACTTGTAAAATCGTATTGCACGTTGAATGGGAGTCTTAACAGAGTCATAAGTCCATCCCTTCCTGGCAAACAGTCTTTCAAGGATGCCAGGCATTTCGTAGCCCTTGCTTAGAATGAAATCCTTAAAGGCAATTGGTCCATAAAGTTCGTCAAGAACGTCAGGTTCATCAGGCTTTTCAAGCAAGAGCTTGGGGTCAATCAAAGGTTCATCACTTCTTAGCTTTTTCCACAACTTAGGCTTGAGGTACCATGCTCCATACTTCATCTTCACACGCTGTGCGGTATAAGAATTCGATGGCGTGTGGAATTTCCTGCCCCAGTATTTTTCCTGTGAGAAGAATTTAGCCTCATCCTTTTCATCTAGCTCCATGCTGTACTTCAGCTCTGAGGAACACTCTTTTACCTTCTTAAGCTTTTGGTCGTAATAGGTTGTTCTGTACTTGGGGGTAAAGTCAAACAGATTCCTGATGGATTCTTCATCAGCTCCCAGGTCTGCAGCCCACTTGAAGAATTCACGAAGTTTTTCTGATGTGTATCTATATTGAAGAGAGTCAGAAACGCACTCTGTTGTGCTTGGTGTATCTTCGTGAAACAGTTCTTTTATGTAGGACGCTCGAATCTTGGGAGACTCTGAGAACTGATGGGACACTGGAGCTTTGGGAGGCTCCGCGCGGAGACTGGACACCCGACGAGTCTTGGGAAGCTCCGGGCGGAGACTGGACACCCGACGAGTCTTGGGAGGCTCCGGGCGGAGACTGGACACCCTACGAGTCTTGGGAGGCTCTGGACGGAGACTGGACCTCCGACGAGTCTTGGGAGGATCCGAGCGGAGACTGGACGCCCGACGAGTCTTGGGAGGCTGCGGGTGGAGACTGGACGCCCGACGTGTCTTGGGAGGTTCCGGGTGGAGATGGGACACCTGAGTCTCCGGAGGCTGCAAGCAGGGTTCCCCACAAGGGAATTTATCAGGCTCGGTGGGTTCCTCGGTTTTCTTCACCCGGGCCTCACAACGAGCCCATACGTCCTTCAGCGTCCTCCCAGAATCCAGCACTTTCAGCATGTATAGTAGGAGATTGGACACCCGACTAGTGTCGGGAGGTTCTGGGCGGAGATGGGACGCTCCAGCCTTGGGAGGCACTGACTGGAGATGAGACACTTCAGTCTTGGGAGGCTCCGGGCGGAGATGGGACCCTCCAGTCTCGGAAGGCTCCGAGTGGAGACTGGACCCCCGACGAGTCTTGGGAGGCGCTAGGCGGAGATGAGACGCTCCAGTCTCAGAAGGGTCCGAGTGGAGACTGGACCCCCGACGAGTCTTGGGAGGCTCTAGGCGGAGATGGGACACTCCAGTCTCCAGAGGCTCTGGGCGGAGATGAGATACGCGAGTGTCGGGAGGCTCCGGGCAGAGGTGGGACACTCCAGTCTCTGGAGGCTCACGGCAGAGAATGGACACCCGACGAGTCTTGAGAGGCTCTTGGTAGAGATGGGACACTCCAGTCTCAGGAGGCTCTGGCTGGAGACTGGACTCCGGAGTCTTGGGAGGCTCCTGGTGGAGATGGGACACTCTAGTGTCGGAAGGCTTCAGGGGAAGACTGGACACCCTAGTCTTGGGAGGCTCTGGGCGGAGACGGGACCCTCCAGTCTCGGGAGGGTCTGAGCGGAGACTGGACAACGGAGTCTCGAAAGGCCGCGGGCAGAATTCCCCACAAGGGTATTTACGAGGCTCTGTGTGTTCGTTGGTTGTCTTCTCCCGGCCCTCACAACGAGCCCGTGCGTCTTCCAGCTTCCTCTCAGAATCCAGTTTCAGTAGCTGTCGTAGGAGACTGGACACCCGACGAGTGTTGGGATGTTCCGGGCCGAGATGGGACACTCCAGTCTCGGGAGGCTCTGGGCGGAGACTGGACACCGGAGTCTTGGGAGGCTCCGGGCGGGGATGGGACACTCCAGACTCGGGAGGCTCCGGGTGGAGACTGGACACCGGAGTCTTGGGAGGCTCCGGGCGGAGATGGGACACCGGAGTCTCGGGAAGCTTTGAGCAGAGTTCCCCACAGGGGTATTTACCAGACTCTGTGGGTACCTCTGTTGTTTTCTCCCGGGCCTCACAACGAGCCCAAACATCCTCCAGCTTCCTCTCAGGATCCAGCAGTTTCAGCACCTGTAGTAGGAGATCTGGAGGCATATCTTCTCCCAGACTGGGGTACATGGCCAAGGGATGCTTGGCCGTCAGCTGGGCTTCCACTTCCTCTACGAACGTCTTCCGTGCTAGCTGGGCTGGAGAGAGCTTAGAAAATAGGGCCGCTTTCTTGAGCAACTTTTTCTGCCCGCTTTTGGGGTCAGTTTGGGGACCTCTGCGACAGATTTTGGGGAGTAAAAACTCGTCACGGCGACAAATGAGTGTATCTTCAGGAGACGGACAGCCGTAGCGGAAGTCGTCCATGCCCTCAGTCACGAATACCCAGTTCTGGGTGTCCATGGGCGGGAACCTCAGGCGCCTGTACTTGCGCTTCGCGATGCACTTGGAAGGCGGTTTGTCACAGTACCAGGGCTTGAAGTCCATGCCCGGGGACTTCGGCCGGTCCTGCGGCCTCTGGTCCCCCATGGTGGCCCTCGCTGGGGTGCCACCTCTCCAGTTTCCGCGGCTCCTGATCCCTGCCGCTCTAGTCTCTAGGAGACCGCCAGCCACTCGCAGCCCAGGTTCCTTCCTGGAGGCGGGGCAGCGCTGACGCCACCTGCGCAGCCCGGATTCTAACAGGTGTGTAGTGCAATCTCATTCTGGGTTTCATTTGTGTGTCCTAATGACTACTGGTATTGAACATCTCTATATATGCTTATTTGCCATCCTTATCTCTCCTCGGTTGAAGTTTCTGTGGATTTTTTTCCCCCGTTTTTAAATTGTGTTGCTGGATGTCATATTTAGTTTTGAGAATCCTTGCTGTGTTCTAGATGTAAACAGGTTATCAGATATATGATTTGCAAATTTTTCACTTCATCCTTGGCTTTTCCCTTTCATTGTCTTAACAGTATCAAAGAGAAGTTTTTTTAATTTGATGAAGTCCAATGTATCAATTTGTTCTTTTCTGGATTGTGCTTCTTTTGATGTATCTATGAAAACTTGGCCTATCCAAAGGACAAGGTTTTAATTTTTGTAAACAGCACAATATATAAATCAAAGTTTTTATTTAAAAATGTACCTATTGCTTACATGTATCTGATAATTTTAGAACTATTTTTGTAAAGACTAACTTTTCTCCACTGAATTACATTTGGAAATTGGTAGAATATCAGTTGTGTATATTTTTTGAAGGTCAATTTCTGTGCACTTTTTTCTCTTCCATTGATTTTTCTCTCACGCAAATTTCACATTCTGTTGGTTACTTTAGCTTTATAATAAATCTAGAAATTAGGCTGTCTTAGTCCTTTAACAGTGTTCTTTTACAAAGTTAGTTCCTCCTAGGTCCTTTGCATTTCTGTAGAAATTTTAAAGTCAGTTTGTCAATGTCAAAAAGAAAAAGTCCTTTGAGAATTTGATTAGGATTCTGTTGAATCTATAGATCAATTTGAGGATAATTGGCATGTTAACAATAGGAAATCTTCTGACCACTGAGAAACGTACATCTTTATATTTGTTTATGTGATTTTTCATTTTCTCAGGCATATTGTGTATTTTTTAGTGTATGTGCCCTTCACATCTTTTTCTCTCCGGATTTTTCCTAAATATTGTTTTTCATACTATTATGTGTAGTATTTTTTTAGCTGCAATTTCCAACTTTTTGTTGTTAGCATACATAAATATTGATGTTTGTATATCCATTGGTGTCATACAACCTTGGAAAACTCACTCATAATGTTCAGAAGAATTTTTGTATATTTAATTGAACTTTCTGTATATATGATAGTGTTATCTGTAAATAAAGACAGTTTCCCTTCTTCCTTTCCAATCTGAATATCATTATACCCCCGCCAGTCCAGTTGCAATCCTTCATTTTCCTTTAAATAATATCAGTTAAATTTTTATCGCTTTTATAGTGCTTAAAACAACACTATGGAAAGCATTTTTATAAAAAATTTTAATTATAGACAAATTCAGCCTGCATTATTCCTTAAGCATATCATTTTCTTATCACATAGTAACTTTTTTTCTGTACATTCTTACTCATTTTTAAAAATAAGTTTTCTTACTTCCCTTGTTAGGTGCAGCTGAACAATGTTTTCTACCATTACAAGCAGGTATACCATAGTTCCTCCTTGTAAATGAGGTATGATCAATGCCTCTCTTTCCTTTGGCTCCTCCTCTGTAAAACAGACACAGTGTATATTTCTCTTGGGTTTCTCATTAAATCAAAGAACTGGATTATGTGTAAATCAAGATAATCTATATAACATGACTTTTGTATAGTATCTGGAACAGAATAAACATCCTGTAAAATATTGTTAATTTATATAGTATTACTACAGTTTGAAAATAAAAATATTCTACATTTGATGTCTATATAAAGGAGAAGCAATATCATACATTTAAATATCACAAATATTTTCATTTGTTGATTATAAGAATCGATGTTAAAGTCTCAGGATATTTAGTAGATTTCATAATGTGAGGGTGGTAAGACCAAATTTGATATGGATTTATTTTTAACTTTCTTACTTAGAAAAATACCATGGACTGTATGTTACATTCAAGAGCCAAAGCTTCAACAATTCTCTATAACAATATCTAACTAGCAAGCTCACATGAGTACTCACTTACCTAAAATGCATGAGAGTTTGAAAAAAATATTCTGTATTCTAAATAATCCCAAAAAAAAAAAAAAAACAAAAAAAACAAAAAAAAACCAAAAAAAAAACCACACACATATTGAATCTCCTAAAGTTCAATTGGGCCTATATAAAATTTTTCATGTGACTGTTCATTAAAACAGTTTTTGTTCCTTAAAGCCACTTCATTTTAATCACTTTTCACAGTAGAATATTATACAAAGGACTCACATCTAGAATACATAAATAATTCTTTAAACTTAACAATAAGAAAACAAAGAACACGAAACAAAAAATGTATAATACACAGTAGTTTAACATGTATAGAGATATATAGTATACATGCTTATATTTTATAGCTCTGTCTCTGCTGAGAAACTAGAAAAAAATGACACCCAAGTAACAGTAAGTACTTCCAGTGCCCAAATCTTGGTTTCTAAATACCATTGTCTAAAATAACAAAAGCAAAACAAAACAGAGATATCCTTGGAGAAATGAGTAATTCTAGGCCTGGGGCAGTGAAAACACAAGATGAACCTGGAGTATTATGTAATGCCAGAAAATACAGAAGTGCTCAGAAAACAAAAGATTAGAAGCAGATCAGGAACCAGACCAAAAGAGCACTTAATGGCCAAAGTTAAAACAATTTAGGCAACAAAATGCATTAAAATTTAAACATTATAACACAATATAAAATAAAATATCCGTGAGTCCATACTGATATAAATAATTTTACAAATAAATAAATGAGGGAAAAGGTACAAATATTTTTACAAAGAATTTCAGAAAATGTACATGGATACTCCTCCCTTCAGGAGGTGGAAATTAATTGCCTTCCCCAGGGTGTGGGCTGGATTCTAAAAAATAGAATATGGAATGGGAAAAAAATAGCGACCTTTTAGTGGAGAAGCCTGGCAATTCTCTCTCCTTAACCAAGTGATGAATGTTAATGTCAGCAGTGAGAAGTCACGTTGGTATCATGCACTACTCTGATAGGATGTGATGAGAAAGACACTTCACCTCTGTAGTATTCTTCCCTAAATTCCAGAATCCTAGTCTACTGAGGAGAAAACATCTAACAAACCCAAGTCCAGGGACATCTTACAAAATTCTCAAGTATTCCTCAAAACCATAAAGGTCATGGGAAACCAGTAAAGACTGAGAACTGATCATAGACTTTAGATTAAAGAGACATGACAACTAAATTCAATGTGGTAGGCTGACTTGGACCCTGGCACTAAAAAAGGACATGAGCATAAAAAATCTACAAATCTGAATTAAGTCTGAAGTTTAATTAACAGTAATATGTTAATGTTAATTTTTTAGTTTAAATGCATGTACATTGTAAGATATTAATTTTAGGGGAAGCTGAGTGAAATGTGCATGAAAATGCTGTGTACAGCCTTTGCAAGTGTTTCATAAATCTGAGATTATTCTAAAATAAAAGGTTTCCATTTTAAACTATAGATTACATCATGATGAATTATCAACAAATCACTATTAATCATACAAGAGAGAAAGCTGTAGCTTTTTTAAAATGCATACTTGTTGCCCCCCACATATACAGTAAATCATAATTTTTTTCTAAGTGGAGTCAGTAATCTACATTTTACATGGATTTTAAATTATACACACCAATATGTAAGAATTACTTTTCTAAAGCCCTGTGCCTTTTATAGGCCCCAAAGACTTTCAAAGAGATTAAAAACCACAGTAGTAATTACATTATCCGAAGTAACCAAATTTGGGGAAAATTAAATTTCTACATATACTAGATGTAGGCTGAGAGCAAAATAATTCACTTAGGTAACATGTACATACCTGGTGGGCCCACAGAATAATGAAGTCATGATAGAAGAGTGAAGAAGATACAAAGTTTGGTGACTGGCAGTGAAAAAACAAACAAAAAAACTAGGAGTGAAAACAACTTACTTGTGCAAACTGCCCTTCTTGGGTTAAAGAAAACTGACATCATTATAGAGTGCAGAGAAATTACAACTGGCCTTTTCAGTCAAGAAGCACCAACTGCCTTAGTATGAAGTGTTACTCCAGAAATGAATAGTGTAGCTGACAAGCAAAACCAACACCAAGAGGCTAATAAAGAAATGTTCAAGCAAGTCAAAAATGCTCTGAGTGGAGCAGCATGTAATGAATAAGCAAACAAGAGAATGAGAACGAACAATGAAAATCAATGTGATGAAGTGCGTTGGTTTAATGGAGCCTAAGTATTCCCAGTTCTGATATCTTTGTGTGCCTCTGACTGCTTTTAGTTACCTACAACCTTTATTGCAAACTTAACTCAGGACTCCGTTTTCATGCTCCAGCAGACTCAAGTTATCTGCAACCTTGCTGTCTCTTCTACCCGCATGCAGCACCTGCCAGCCTTTCTCAGATACCCAATCTTGTTCACTCTGATCCAACCCTCTTTGGAATTCTTCTGCTTTTATTAGCTCTTGCTAAGTTTACTTTCTGTGATAGTTAATTTCCTGTGTCAACATAGCTAGGCTACAGTGTCCAAATAGTTGGTCAAACAGTCTAGATGTTGCTGTGAAGGCATTTTTTGGATGTGATTTAACACTTTATATAGTAGACTTTGAGTAAATCAGATTTACCCTCCATAGGATGGATGAGAATCATCCAATCAGTTGAAGGCTTTCAGGAAAAAGACAAAATTCTCCCAAGAAGATGGAATTGTCCCTCCAGACTGAAACACAGGAATCTGTTTAAGTTTCCAGCCATCAAAATCAGGACTGCAACATCAATTTTGCCCGAATTTCTAACCCACAACCAGCTCTACAGACTTCGGATTTTCAACCCCCGCAGTCGCATAAATGAATTCCTTTAAATTTCTCTCTCTCTCTCTCTCTATATATATATGACATATATATGTGTATATATATATGTCCTATTATTTCTATAGTCTATATATTCAA